CAGTTTGAAATATGACCAGTTTTTTTCTTGTAACAAAGTGCTACCCTCCACTGAAAAAGATTTTATCAGAGCCTTATCTTATGTAGACAAAAGGGCAATTGCCCACTCCCAGCCACCGGCAGCCTTTCTTACCTAAGTGGGGAGGAAAAGTAAGGTAAAAGCACTTGTGAAAGTCACAGCCCACCTGAGAAGACCTGCTAAAAAATTGAGATTTAATCACGAGATTACAGAATGCTCTTTTCTCCCACTCCTTGCTACCAAATCAACATGTCTAATATAATAACAGTTAATTTGTAGCCAAAAGATCTGCAAAGTTTAGACTCTATTTGAGAAGGAGAGACGTTATCTTAGGGAAACCTAAAGATAACACCAGAGACAAAAACAAGGACACTAAAAGAATTGAAAGACTCTGACATCTACAGCTACAGCAAATACTGTACACAGTCCAAATCCTAGCCTGGTTTAGATACAGCCTCACCCTAAAGGTCTTTGTGTCTCAGTTGTTTTTTCCAAACGTATGTGTATAGCTTTCAACAATAACAAAAAATACAAGGCATGCTAAAAAGCAGGAAAAACACAGAAAAGACAGAGCAAGCATTAAACCAAGATCAAATATGACAGAAATGTTGGACTTAAAGATGAAATGTAAAATAACTATGATTTATATTTTAAGAGTCCTAATGGAAAAAAAGTAGACAATGTGTAAAAACAGAGATAATCTAAGCAGAAATTTGATATTGAGAAATAGACATAAGAACCAAGTTAGGTTTAAAAATTAGGGTCCACATGCTGCTAAAGCCCTAGATTGACCTCGCCCCATGTGCAGATCTCCTTTAACTTCACTCAGTCCTGTACTTTGGAGGTTGGCTGTGTAGGGAGAATTAAGTCTGTAGAATAGTATGGGAGATAATTAATTTTCAGCTGGACTAGACAGTCCTGTGCTTATCTCTGGGGAACGTGGAAATCTAGTGTTGACCCTTGGCCAAGATAAGGGCAGTGGAATAAATAATCATTTATAGTGTGCAATTTAAACTTTGAAACTTCTCTGGTGGCATTCAGGCCCAGCTTAATTACTGATGGTTTTCATCAGCATAAATAGCTAGACAGCCTTTCTTGTCTATGTAATCAAACCGTTAAGGAGTTTCCTCAAACCGAGGTTTCTTTTATTTATTTATTTATTTATTTATTTATTTATTTATTTATTTATTGTTTTTGTAGGAAGGGAGGAAGGGAGGAAGGCAGGAAGAGAGGAAAGGAGGAAGGGAGGGAGGAGGGAAGGAAGGGAGGGAGGGAGGGAGAGAAGGGAAGGAAGGAAATCAGGTAATGAGAGAGACATTGCCAACCTGGATCTAGAGGTCTACCAGTTGATTTCTTTTTTTCTTTTTTTTTTTTTTGAGAGAAGGAAAGAAAAAAAAAAAGGAGTGAAGGAGAGGAAGAAAGAGGAAGAAAAAGAGGGAAAGAGAATGGAAATGTTGCTTTATTCTAAAAAAAAATGGGTATTAATAATGGCCAATCAATATTTCATTTAAACCTATGAGTAGGTGTGATGTGGTATTGACAAGAATGTATATTTTGTGTATTTAAAGTGGAGAGCTCTATAAATATTTATTAAGTTCACTTGTTCCAGGTCTGAGTTCGAGTCCCTGATATCCTTATTAATTTTCTGTCTCGTTGAGTCTAAGTCTCTATTTCTCTGGGTGTTAGGATCGTTAGCTCTTACTGTTGCATTGATCCTTTTACCACTATATCTTTGTTGCTTTAAAATCTATTTTACCAGATACGAGAATTGCATCTCCTGCTTTTTATTTATTTATTTATTTTTCTTGTACAGATCTTGTAATCTAATCTGAAGACAAAGTATTTCTTTTTTTTTTTTTTTAGAGAAAAAAGAAAGGAAGAAAGAAAAAAGAACGAAAGAGAGAAAGGAAGAGGAAGAGAAAGAGGGAGAGAGAATGGAAATCTTGCTCTATTGCCCAGGCTGGAATGCAGTCTAAAAATAGGTATTAAAAACCTCTTTTATGCCAATAATTGTGCTTAACAATGGAGACAGGAAGGAATAAGGGAGGAAAATAACAAACAAGCAGCCAACCAACATTTCATTTAAACCTGTGAAACGCTATGCAATTGCTGAGGAGTGATTTACTTCCAATTTTGTGGTCACTTTTAGAATAGGTGTAATGCGATTCTGAGAAAATTTTGTGGATTTGGCGTGTGGACAGTTCTGTAAATGTTTATTAAGTTTACTTGCTCCAGGTCTGAGTTCAAGTCCTGGATATTCTTGTTAATTTTCTGTCTCGTTGATCTGTCTAATATTGACAATGTGGAGTTAAAGTCTCCCACTATTATTGTGTGGGAGTCTAAGTCTCTTTGTAAGTCATTAAGAACTTGCTTTATGTATCTGGGTGCTCCTGTATTGGGTACGTATATATTTAGGATCGTTAGCTCTTCTTGTTGAATTGATCCTTTTACCATTATGTAATGTCTTTCTTTGTCTCTTTTGGTCTTTGTTGCTTTAAAGTCTATTTTATCAGAGACTAGAATTGCAACCCCTGCTTTTTTTTTTCTCTTCTCCATTTGGTTGGTGAATCCTCCTCCTTCCCTTTGCTTTGAGTCTTTCTGTATCCTTGCATGTGAAATGGGTCTGGATGCAACACACCAATGGGTTTTGGCTTTTTATCCAATTTGCCTGTCTGTGTCTTTTGATTGGGGCATTTAGTCCATTTAAATTTAGGATTAATATTGATATATGTAAGTTTAATACTGCCATTTAATACTGGCTGGCTGTTTTGCCCATTAATTGATGTAAATTCTTCATTATGGTGATGCTGTTTACCTTTTGGTATGTTTTTGGAATGGCTGATACTGGTTGTTCCTTTCTATGTGCAGTGCTTCTTTTAAACTCTTGTAAAACAGGCCTGGTATTTCTTTATGAGCATAAGGATGACCCTGAAAAGCTACATCTGGGCGAATCTGAGGGTCCTGATACTTGCCTGCATTATCTTGCTTCTCTTGCACTCTATCCTTTGGCTTGTATACTCTGTGGGATCTTCTAAGTCCTTTCAATGATCTGATCAGTGAGCTTTGTCAAAACAAATATTTTCCAGGCTAACTAATTGGAGGTTCATAGCCTGTTCATAGCCTCTCACGATATTCAAACTGGTGAAATCTTGATTCTGACAAAACAGCATAATTGTTTAGGGAGATATAAAATGCAAATTTTGGAGCTTCATTAAAACCAGAATCAGAAGCTCCAGGGTGGAGCCTCAGAACTTGTATTTGTGGAACTCTGCCTAGATTGTTCTGGTGATTAGCCAGAGATGTGTACCACTAACCCAAACCCTGGAGCCCCTCAGTTACCCTCAAGCTCCATTAAGGGTGTCATGTAGCAGGAACATGTTTTGCCTGCTGGGAAACCACATGAGTTAAAAAGTACAGGATAAATGAATTGAAACCAAAGAAAATTCTGGGTTAAGCATTTCATACATACTGTTTATTAAACTTTTACGTTAAATTGTTTGGCATGGCATAAATATGTATAAATGTTGCAATCAACCTCTAAATACAAATATTTTAAACGGCTCAAGCCTGTAATCCCAGCACTTTGGGAGGCCGAGGCGGGTGGATCATGAGGTCAGGAGATTGAGACCATCCTGGTCAACATGGTGAAACCCCGTCTCTACTAAAAATACAAAAAATTAGCTGGGCATGGTGGTGCGTGCCTGTAATCCCAGCTACTCAGGAGGCTGAGGCAGGAGAATTGCCTGAACCCAGGAGGCGGAGGTTGCGGTGAGCCGAAATCGTGCCATTGCGCTCCGGCCTGGGTAACAAGAGCATAACTCCGTCTCAAAAAAAAAAAAAAAAAAAAAATTGTTAAAAATATTGTCAAAGTAGTAGAAAGGTCTGCAACTCTTATAAAATGATATAGGTCTATCTTATAACCAGGAAAAGTAGTGTGTCAGAGAGACAATGGGCTAGCCACGGCCAGCCATCCTAGTCTTGTAACATCAAAGGTGACCCAGAAATAGTTTTGAGATTTTTTTTTTTTCTCGTTATGGCAAAGAGCCTGCTTTCAAGAACCAAGTTTCAGGAGCATTTATGCCACCACTGAAAATAGGTTAGACACTTATAAAATGACTTTATTTTTCAGAGGCACATTTCTGTTTCATTTTGTTTCAGTTTAAATGGTAGTATGATGAGATACTTTTATTTACAATTGTCCCTTGGTATCCATGGAGGATTGATTCCAGGATCCCACATGAATACCAAAATACAGGAATTCTCAAGCTCCTGATGTAAAATGGCCTGATATTTGCATACAACCTAATATAATTTAACTTATCTCTAGATTACTTATAATACCTAATAAAATGTAACTGCTATGCAAATAGTTGTTATACCGTATTATTTTGGGAATAATGACAAGGAAAAAGTCTGTGCGTGTTCAGTACAGATGCAATTTTTTTCTGAATATTTTTGATTGGTGATTGGTTGAAGCCACGGGCAGGGAACCCCCAAATGTGGAGGGCTGACTGTATTTATTTTATTTTCTGTTTAGCTGAAATGAGCAAACAGATAAGGGAAAACATGAACGTTAATATCTGAATAGCAGTTCAGTGCTGTGATTAAGTGCCTTGATTTTAGAACTGCCTATAGGCTGTCTAATTCAAGTCCTAGCATTGTTACTTATTCCTGTGGGACGTAGGACAAAGTTCTTTATCCTCTTCCTGTCTTTCTCTCCTAAGATATAAGATGCAAATAACAAGATCTCATGTTATTTTCAGGATTATATGACTTAAAAATATACAGTGTTTTGAAAGCAATGGTAATTATTTAGTAATTACACAATAATAGCTATTTTACTAAGTGTTGGTTTTGTAATAATTATTGATGCAGCCTCTCCCACCCTTAACCACAACCTCCCTTACTCCTCCTCCTCCCCAAACTATTTTGGTCCAGAGGAACAAATTAATTTTTATTTATTTATTTATTTTTATTTTTAAAGCCTACAGCACCCGGTATTCCCAGGTGGTCTCCCATTTAAGTACTAACTGGGCCCGACTCTGCTTAGCTTCTGAGATCAGATGAGATCAGGCATGTTCAGGGTGGTGTGGCCATAGACAGGAACAAACTAATTAATGTAGCCAGTCTATATGATACAAGGTGTACTTAAAACTAGTTCCAAAGAAGCCATAAAGATGAGGGCCAAACATGAACAAACTTGGCAAAAGGAAAATATTCCATTCCTAAAAACATATAATACTTTTAGTCTCTGTTACAAAGTGGAAGTGCAAGAAATCTCTCTTGTGATTGAATCAGATATGAGCATCTGTAATTCTAGGACATATTTATTTTGCTGGGTTTTGTTGGTCTTTATGTACAGGTAGAAAGAAAGAAACTATTTTTAATGAAGAACTGAAGTATTATTCTCTGAGAAATGATACTGAGACACGACTGAGAATCTAGTCTGTGGCATTTGGGAAATAAGTTTGGGTTGTAAAAACATGAATTATAAATGTTTACATTTCAGTTTCTGGGTATAAATTTGAAGTTATAGGAATAGCCAAAAGTGAAATAAAAGTGGTAGTGGTTCGTAATTTTCTCTAATTACATATATCAAATCAGTGGCCTGTGGGAAGCAAGAGGGTTCACTCAGAAGATTTAAATTAACAATAATTTTATTAAAGAGGAGCTATTTAGAGATCTGTGAGCAGGGCTCAATAAATGAACAAGGCACAGTGAGGCAGTCAGCCCCTGGTGCCAGGGAAGAAGGGGCAAAGAGACAGTGGAAGCTGAAAGAGACAGAGAAAGCCGTGGAAGGCGATCCTCCTGCAGCTACTGCCAAACTGCAGGTGCACAGGAAGTGAGTGCTGGTGTGTAGGAGGAGATGGCAGAGTGGTGATGACACCCAAAGAGCCTTCTTTATCCTTCTACTTTCTGACCATCTCCCTGCCTACACCTCCCATTGTGTTATCCAACAAAAGCCAGAGAGCTCGGGAGCAGCCCAAATAGGGCATCAAGTCAGGTAGATGAAGAAGAAATAAAATAATTCTCATTCCGCTGAGATTCTGCTAGCAGTATCAGTGACCCATTTGTGGCTCACATAGAGACTTTGGATTTAAGGGAAACTACGTTATGCTAAGGTATAGACGTTCTTGCCCTGTTTATTTATCTTACTTTAAATACTTAGCTAAACTGGAATTTAATGTAATCTTACATTGGAGGTATGTCTGTTGTGCAGAAACAATCCAATCCATATGGGTAAAAAATTGATATAAATAAAACCATGGGAAATGGTTGGTTAAGCACTTAATATACCCTTAAAATTGAAGAAAAATTTGCAACTAAAATTAAAGTATTGTATTAAAATAAAGTGTTATAATCTTGTTGATAATTTAGGGGAGTGTTTAGTGGTAAAGAGAAAAAAATCTCTAAAAGCAGGCATTTGTTTAGAGGGCTTGAGTTTTGCTCAACAGGAGATCTTCTTGGTAACTCTTATTAATCTACGTTGTTCATGTTCTGGCCTTTTCAGGCATATGACAATCTCAAAGATTGGTTTTCTGAGGCTAAAGACATGACAACTCTATCACAGAGAAGAAAAAAGGCATAGATTTTGGAACTAGAAACTATAGGTATGATACAAACTCCCACATATGTGATCTTTGGAAAATTGTTTACAGTTTTATGATACCAATATCATCTACAAAAATTAAAAAAAAAAACAACTTTAGGGCTGTGGTTGGGATTAAATAAGATAAATTTTATAAATGTCTACTGCAGTGCCTGGATTATAGCATGTCTTCAAAAAAGTTTTCTTTCTTCTGCAAATATTTTCTAATTACCTACTTAAGGTCCTTTGTCAGTTAAGACAGTTTAAATTAGAACACGAAGTCTCCTAAATTGTGCCTATGTCTGAGTAGATGCCTAGTAACTATAATGCTGTATTAAACAAACTTGGATCTTTTCCCCAAAGCATAAGATTTTTGCTTATAGTAAAATGGAATAAACATATATACACATAAAAATATGCTCTACCATATGAGTAGGAAGAAAGTAAGAGCTATGGGATATTGTAGTACAGGGTGACCATTAAGAGCTAACAAGATGGTGAAGCCCTCACAAAAGAGATGAGGCTAAAGCTGGGTCTAGAAATATTGGGAGCATCTGGACACACATACCCCATAGGGAAGGTTATTCAAGATCTGGGGGATTTCCTAAGCAAAGTAGCAGAGAAGAGTAAGCGAGGTATGTTCTGATAAGTTAATAAATGAAGCTGACATGAAAGGAAAATTAATAGAATACAGAGTAAGAGTGGCTGCCTGGTAAATAAGAATTGATTTGAGGATTACCTCAAGTGCTTAATCAGTTTGGATTTGAAGGCCTTGGAGCATTTTAAGTGACAGATAAAATAAGTATTTTAAAAAATTTGTCTTGAGCAGAATTGATCTGGCCTGAGTTAGAATGTCTGAAAGTAAAAATTATGAAGTTATATTGTATGAAAGTCTCTTGATAAATCTTAGCATTAGTTGAAACTATTTGGTATGTTTTCTTGTCATGATGTGTATGAATCAGCAAAGTATTGTTTCCTGATTCAGAAAGTCAACATAAACTCAGTAGAGTCTGATATTTGAGAATTAATGGTTAACTTGAAAATCTTCATGACCATTTTTTTTTTCTGGCAAGTAGAGCTGAAGAGATAATTTGCTCAAAGAGTAAAAACTGAATTTAAGAGGAGAGGGAGGAGCTAGGATTTTGGATGCTCTTTTCATCCCTCATAAATATTGGAAAACTATGAGATTTTGGAATGGATCTTTGGCATCAAATAGAGCTTAACTTTAATTTTGACTATCATTTTTTTGGCTGTGCTATCTTGATGCAGCTACTTCTTCTATCAATGTGGATTTCCTCATTAGTAAAAGAAAAAACAATATGCCTGCTTCTCAGGATCATTGTATTAATGAGATATGCACATACGCCACAATGCCTAGCAAATAGTAGATGCTCAACTGATGTTATTTAGTTTTACTGTTGCTTTTGGTAAATGATAGTATCAAGTACAAAGGTCAGGTATAGAATACTCACATAATAGTGGTTGAACAAATTCTTATGATGATAATCATTAGCTGTAGTTATTTTTCAAATCTCTAATAAAGAAAAGTGAAATTGTATGGGTCAAGAGAAAGCCCTGGTTGTCACCATGAGACTCCTTTTGCTTTTAATTTATTACCTAGTGATCTCTCTTCCCATGAACAGTTTTATGGCTCTTACTCTGGCTAGGGGAAAGGGCATTGGTACAGCCCACAATACACACATAGCTTTTTTAATACAAAACTTGTGTAGGAACTATTTCTCACCACTTCCTAGACATTGAGAGTAACGTCAGGCTTATCATTTTTCCAGCTGGGGAACCTAAGGTGAGAGATTAAGTGCTTTTGCCATTATTGCTTGGAGAGATAGGGTTGTTCAGTCTCCTGAACTGTAAGCCAGAGGCTTTTTATATGGAAAGAGCATTTTGATGTGAACTGTAGTTTGTGAAATATGAATTTCAGCAGCAAAATACTGTAGTCCTCACTGTTAACCTCTTGTTGAACATTAAATCAAATTATTGTTACTGGAAAACTCCATTACATACCGAGCCAAAATTCTCAAGTTTACAGGCTTCATATGCAAAATACATACTGCTGCCTATAGCATGGGTGAGGCTCTAAGGACATTTGCTAGAAGCTTATTTTATGGAGCCAAATTTAATCAGAATCTGGGTCACAAAAATGGATCATGAAGTTAATGATCTATTCATTAGAGTCAAAGTTGTTCATTGAATGAGTAAGAGTGATATTGTACAAGGTTTTTTTCCCCCCAGAAATATTATTTTTCCTTATCTTCCCCATGCAGTTCTGAAGTGACCTTGGCAACGGAAACTAAAAACTCCTTTGGGCCTGACAGAAAGGAGCTACGCCCTTCCAGGTGCTGAGAGTATTTTTTGCTGGCTTTGAACACTAGGTGGCAGAAATGCTCTTGTTAAGATTTGCCGAGTTGTCAAGGAGAGCAGTTTTATTGACAGCAATGATGAGCTCTCTTAATTAGCCAGCCATATACATGAAAGCCACACAGGATGCTCTAATCGAAAGGGAGATGTACTTTCCAGTCCACAAGGAACTTATTTTTACAATATGAATGGTTTGGCCAAGGATGCTTTTTATGAGGCCTGCTTATTCATTTCAGTGATGGAGCGGAGTCATCTAGGGCTCTGCTGCCCGTTCATTAATGGGGAGTGTTAGGAGAAAAAGGAAATCTGGATTTAAACCCCGACAGATCATTGTGTTTACTACTAAAAATCTCTGCATATGAGTTTTGGTGCCTAAGAAAAGACCGAGAAAAATAGCTTACTGCAATTTTTTCTCTCTCATGATTGAAAAGAATGATTTGCTTCATAACAGAGAAACATAATTACACAATGGACCTCAGGCATGGCCCAATAACCAGAATCTTGTCCAAGTGGTACTCAACTGTGTTACCGTGCATCAATATTATCTCTGGTACTTTTTTGGGAAAAAAAGTAAGTGTCTGGATATTACTGTAGCCACACAGAGTCAGAGTTCCTGGAATATCTATATTTGAAAAGGTATGTGGATGATTCTGAACTGCAGAATTTTTACCCTTGAGTAATATTTGTAATTCTGGAATCAGAGTCAGCCCTCCATAGGCTGACTGCTTCAGGAGCACTAAAAAGACCCAGTCTCCACAACAAAGAATGTTCTCTCTGCCTGACTATAATGTGAATGTCTTCTCACAGACCACTGGTTTGTATCAAAGACTCCTGGGATAAAGAGTAAGAATTGCATGGAATGTAAGCCATTACCAGACTTTAGCTTTATAGATACAAATAGTTTGACAGATTTTTCAAAAGTGGTAAGTAAAGCACTGACTTAAAGCACTGAGTTTCTCAGGGTTGAGAAAGGATTTTGATCTTAAATCTTGAGAAATACAAAGATGAGTATATTATGGCCCTGATACCACTAGTAACCTGGAAGGCAACATGTGAAGGGGCTGGGGTTGTTATCAGGAAGGGGCTGGGGTTGATATCAGGAAGGAGACGGGCTCTTGATCAGGAATTTGGAGGAT